CAGTATTTTGTTACCCTATCTTCGGTTGTCTGGTTTTGGAATTAGATTCAACCATCCTTTTCGATTTAAACATTTGCTTTCCGACTGGTATATTACACTAGGTTTTCAGGTTCGAATACCTTGCCCGTAAAAGAGGTTATCAGTTTCAAATTTCCGTTTTAAAAAATGATGGGAACGTTGAATCCTCAAGTAACAAGCCTTCATTAGTGAATTTCTCATTTTATGATCGATGAAAACTCAGATGAATGAGCTGTCTGGAAAACCGGTGCTCCAGGTGGTTTGTAAAATACACAAGTCAGATGGGAGTAACCATTGCTATGCAAATTGCATCACAATACGTCCAGATGACTTACCTTGAGAGAGGAAATTTTACGCTTTCTGAAAGAGCTAGATATACCAAACACTATCTTATTATCTACAGTACCGGATATATTGCTGCAAAATACTTGGAGGTTGTCAGTAGGAAGTTCACTATTCACATATGTTTCGGTGAATTGATTAACCAGGATCATTGTTTTACTAGAACGTTTATCATATGAAAGCTTCCTAACCGTAATGATTTTCGACCGACAGCTTTTTACATTCTTGCCCAGATATGAGATGGGCGGTCTTCGAGTATTGTTTATTCAGGATAAATCAACCTAAGAGAGAGAGATCATCAGGCAGTAGACTGGTATCTAGACTGCTCTTTTCGGTTTTTTGGATTACTGACTTTTGGGTGAACTGTCTTATTTAGACCAAATATGCTTCATGTATTCGGAGTTTAACAATGCCTTTACCCGAAACACCTTGATAGGCCAAGGATACTAACCCATTCAAATCAGAAGTTAGAAATGAACGGGTTCGAATATATATATATCGTGAAGTTATCGATATGTCGAGGAGTGACTGGTCTTAGCTGGCTAGCAATTGCAAGGGATAAGTAGCACTGCGTACCCACTCGTGATCTGGTGAGGATGCATGACTGAACGCCTTCAGCTGGGTTAGTCCAGTAAAACTAATGTGGTCAGCACCAAATGTCGAAGACATACAGAGCTTTTGATTTTGGGGATTTATTTACCACTACAGATCACTCCCTCCCTAGTTGGGTAGTGATGACCCTAAGACGTGGCCAGTCAAATGTTTAAACCAGACGCGCTCGCCGTTGACAACCACTCTTCTGGTAGCTTGCTATATTCAGCAGTATCTGATGGTCTTTCCTTAATATAATGGGTCAGGTGGAACAATGCAGCAATTTAAACAATTTACAATGAAAGTTTCGATTCGTCGTATTCTTCACTGAATTTTCGTATTTTCCATCCATCCTAGAAAACAAAAAAGGAAACAGAAAGTGCATGTCGAAACACACTCGTACGATCGTGACGAATAGGAAAGTGAGCAAACTAAAAAAGTGACATGTATGCGTAAAGATAACGCGCGATAGCGTAAAGCAATTTTTACACAATAATTTTTCGATTTTGGATTCTTTCAGATAACGAAAATACCCATACATATGAGCACACTAGAATAAACATGTTTGTTTTTTGTCTTAGTTATAAAAACAAACTGGACGAAACAAATGTTATGCAGTGTCCTTCGAGTAGTCATTATTTCAGGGTTCTGGAAACTTTATATCACTTCCAGAGGGTGTTGTTTTGGGACAGTTCTCAGATACCAGATAAGTTTCGTCATGATTGTTGATTTTTGTGTTTAGCATCGTAACTGTGTGGCTCGTGGCGTTCCATTGTAAAAGAAGAAAACTAAAATTATTAAGGTTTCTTTCAAAGTATTTTGCTTTAAGATGGTCAGTGCTGAAGTTATCAATGGTTCCGTTGTAGTTGGTGATATAGTATGTGAATTTTCGATGAAGGACTAAATACGATGCTTCGTGTGCCATTTCGAAAGGCCGTTGAAGTGAGTCGGCACGTACAAAGGCGTGTGTACTATATCGTAGGACATGTTGAACGTAAACATCAATCAACTGAAGTTGAGTGGAAACAGGTTTAAGTAAACATAGGGCGTCTGTTAGCCTGTTTGTGTAAGAGTTTAGATGCATATTCATTGAAGGAGATGAAGGATCAAAGAAGTCCTCCTCTTCTCATAGTAGGTAGTCATTCGGAATCGTGTTATTCCGAGTAGTGTCGTAGGATAATGGACAATTAGAGATTGTAACTGGTGTCCATGGTCTGCAGTGGTGGTTGAAGGATAACCGAAGTTTGCTGCCCAGCGCTCGACGAAGACATAGACCAAAATTTAAGTAGTAATCTCTTTGAGAGGTAATGATTCTGCCCGTCGTGTGAAGCGATCTACACACATCAAGACGTAATAGTATTAAATTGACACTGGTAAGGGTCCTATCCAATCCAGATTAACATGTTCGAAACAAGCGTTGGGAGTTGTGAAAAATCCTAAAGGGTATTCGTTCTGTCAAATCACCTTAGAGTTATGACAACTTTCACAGGGGATAGCCAACTCCCACACGTATTTATTCATACCAGAGGAACAACGTCTTCCTACTACGAGCCTGATGGTTGCTCAGACACCCGAACGAGAAAGTTCGTGCAACTTATCCAAGACGTTGTGTGATTAATGTTTCGGCACGACCGCACAATCCTCACCTATAGATAAATCACATGATAACGTTTCCTCATCAGTTCTCATCTGTCTGACCCGTAGTCATAAGGTAGTTGAATATAACTCGTGCTGAAGATCAGTGTCTTCTTCCTGACGCTAGGTGAGTTGAAGAACACTACTCACGAAAGTTATTCGAGACACAGCTTCTGCCACCACATTGTTTGCCTCCTAAATATGTCATATATCTGAAGTAAACTGCAAAATATAATCTGGTTGTCGGGACTGTCGAGGAGAGTACCTTTCTGACGACGAGCTTGAAGGAAGTGTCACAGGTTTGTGGTCAGTAGACAACGTGATTTTCATATTGTTTAATGTGCCATACGGCTCAGTGAAAGGCTAGAGTTTCCCTGCCGTAAGTTTTATACCTTGATTCATTGTCTTGCAACTGTTTCGAGAAGGGGAATTAAGGTGGTTGATCGTTGTCAACTCATTGTTGAAAAACCTATCTGGTTACTAAGACGGATTCATCTACAGAGATATTAATGGGTGCTTTGATGTCCTGGTGTGCTAGCACAGTTGATATTGCGATGGCTTGATCATGTGTCAATTGCATTCTCACGAGAATTGGTGATTTTCGCGTTGCTACGAAGTTGGTCTGTTAAGAGTCCCGCATGAACTGTCGATGAAAACTTACCAGGCCTTCTAACGTGCTTTTCAGAAGGCGAATAGCTCGAGCATCATTAGTGTATCCGATAAGGTTCAGGGATTTTTTCCAACCGGACATTTCTAAATGCTTACCATCTATATAATAAAGGGTTATTTCCACGGACTACGGTTGCTGTTACCGGTAGAAGAAGTTTCCTGAAAGTTTTTTTTCATGTCAGACAGCTTGAAAATTAGGAAACTGTAGGATTTTCTTAGATTTCTAGAAGATTTACCATACTCACTCTGTTTTTCACCTTAGTCAGGATTATCTAACCTCCGTAATTTACAGACAAATCGTTTTCGCGACGATCTTCCTCGAGTAGTTAGCAAGCGTTCACAATTATGACGAAAACTAAGATGCGAGTGAGAGTACGGAGGAAATCAGCGACATGGTGTTGTGTCGATTTAGGTTTTTCTTTGTCAGAATAAACCTCTGGGCTGAAGGTTCTGGTGATCTCGATAATCCGATCGACAAGTGCAGCAAATTCGTCCTCGGCGTGTTTGTGAAATGAGACAAGAACTGCCTGCACCTGTTGATGAAGGTGAGACAAAACGAACTGTTTAAACAGGCCCTCGTCAAAGTTCTCTTGACCAATGACTTCTTGCATACGTAGTTACATTTCTGTTTCTGAGCCATTGCACAGTTCCATATTGTGGAAAAGCTGATCAAATATTTGTTGGCTGGTTTGATCTCCACATTTAGGAATGGGGTTCTTTAAAGAGGTGCGAGGTTCTGAAACATAAATAGTGGACATATTAGGTGTGAAGATGAAACAGGTATTCAGTGTTTAGCAACGTTTTTACCAGCAACACCTTCTAATATATTTTGTACCCACCGAGAGAAATCAAAAGACAGAGTCGAGGAGATCGGAAGAGTGTATTTGGCGATTACCAATATATCGGAGTTCTCTGATCTAATCTGGCTAGCGATTGCGGTAGACGTTGAGCACAGAGTTATCACACGTGATCTGGTGCAGATGCATGACCGAGCGCCTTCAGCTAGATGAGTCCACTAAACCATATGGTCAGCATCCAATGTCGAAAACTTACAGAGCTATTTATTTTGGGGATTTATTTACCGCTACAGGTGTGACATACCTGTTAAAATGGTCCATTGTTTCACATGTCACAGGTAACTTTAACAAATGCTATTCGTCTATGATAAGGAATGAAAGACTTTCTAACATAATTATAGAGTGTTTGTAACCACGCCAGGCGAAACTGGGATTATTCGGGGTAATTAAAGTAACGGTGATGATGTAGGGTTCATAAACTTGAACAGTTTGTTGGTATGATTGGTTCTCGTGTTACTATTCTATTTCAATGATTGATTTCATCCCTTCTAATCTAGTCGCTATGTCACCCTGACGATTCTCAATATTAAAAGTTTATGTTTGTTTAAGTCAGTTCTTAACCGTTGTTGGCAGCTTTTCGAACTGTATGCCGCTGTAGGTCCTAATGCTCTTGGAATTTATTTTGTTGTCAGTCGCAATTATGGTTGCAGACTACTCCTCTCACTAATTTGACTTACGAACTCAACATTTGGCTTAATTTAGTGCTTGAGATGTGATGCTTCGTGTTGACTGTTGAGGTGACCACTGGCTTGGAGTTATATTTCAGTTTACCTAATAAATCCTATTGGCTTATTTGCTGAAATCATTAAAACTTCTTGTACGAGACAATTTTCCCATATTTGAACTGCCTTCATATTTATTTCATCAGAGGGACGAGTATACATTACAATGCTTCGCATGATTCACAGCTGGTCTGCTAGAAGGCGTCTTAGTGGATCAAGCTACCCCTTAAAAAGAAAGGATCCTAAAATAACCCCAACAAGGACTAAAAAGCACCAGAAATGTATAACTCTTCAGAAATCTAGTCGCACACCAACGGGACTACCATCAGGTGAGTTTCTATTGAGGGACTTTTTCCCCACGAGCCTAGCTGTATGATGCTATATCTCTTTATGATTTAGTGAATTCTCGGTGAACCTCGCTCACAAGTTGATTCGAAACTTTCACGCTGAAGTATTTTGTCGAAGAATTCGGCTTCAGATTGTCAGGTGGCAAGTTCATAATTCGCCGTACCGGTGAGACTGATTTGTGGGCGACATTAATGACCTTGGAAATGTCCACCTACTTACTAGGGTTTATCGTTTTCATCACGAACTGAAATCAGCCAAAGTGCAAAAACGCTATTTAGACAGATGAATGAATAAATTTCCTGTTTTCCTACATCTGATTGGTTGGTCTATAATCCGTCGGTTAACAGTCCTGCCCCATACTTGAGGGACCTGAGTTGTTCAAGTCAAGATTGTTCGGCAGCCCTTTATTCCCAATTGCCGTTATCCGAAGGAATGCTGATATTCAGTAGCGATACTTATGGATAACCTCGAGATTCGTTATCAGTGGGCTCACTGATGATAATTCTATTTATTTCACCCTGGAACATTGGATTCAGTGGCTTGAACTTGCGTTACGAATATCGTTTGTTAGTTGCTGATGGTAGGAGAGAGTGGCAGTATTTATCCCTATTAAATGGACGAAATATAAACTTGCTCGTGCCAATCAACCATAGTAGTCCTCCTGATTATGTTCTGATAACCAAATATCCTCTCATCGAGAGCTTACATGAATTAAGATTTTGTGTTATTTTTGGTGGTTCATTCATTCTGCTTGATTACACTTAAGAATTAGATCAAATCTTCAACATGTTACTAAAGTTACGCTATTAGAAATCTCATATTTACAGCTTTTCATCGAAAAATATTGACTATCCTTTTTTCCAAGTTATGCAATAAAGTGAAAGTGTGTTTATTTATCTTCTCATTTTAGTCACAAAACCAAGAGCGCGAAAAATCCACAAAGCGCCTATTCCTGAATCTCAAAGTGTGACCAACCACAATGTAAGTATTGGTTTTATACCGGTTATGTCGTCCATTCCTTTCTTGTTTACCTATTTTTTCGTAACGTACAATCAATTGCTAGTAACCTATTTTATATGTAGTCTCAACGGCTACTAGAATTTACTCTTAAATTCAAACTAATAATCCATAGTTCAAAGTGATGAGATTAATTTGTGGACGACCTTTGAGCGACTCTACACTGACCTTGAATGTCCACCTAATAACTAGGACCAAATGAGTGTCATAAATATGTGTGGAATTAGAAATATGATTTATGATTGATGATTGAGATTATGAATTCGATTTAGGGTTTTCATCACGAACTAACATTAGCTGCAATACCAAAACTCTATTTATCCAAATGGATGAGTGAATTTCGTGCCAAAATCCAAGGTCTGTTATCGTATACGTGACTGGTTCATCCATAAATTATAGTCTCGCCGTTGAAGTCATGAGAACTTGTAAATGTATTCTCATAAACCTTAGTTTCACCTTATGCTTTCTCTTCGTTCACAGCTAAAGCATCATCTCCATAAGTGAACGTATTTTTGTTAAATTTCAGTTGCTAGGTAATATAGATATTCAAATCCCTTCAGATTGTTGTCATCATAATTCAGCTCATATGAAAATTCACCATAATAACGTCATAAACCCTTTAAATTTATCTTCATCATTGTGTACTTCTGATTCTTGCGAAAATGCCAACGAAGAGTTATATCATAACTGCCAAAACCATGATAATTCAGAAAATGACCATGTATTATCAAAACTACAAAGTACATCAAAAACAGAATCATTGGTGGAAATTAGTACAAGCTTACCTGTAAAACCAAACCCAAATGTTACGCTAATTGAGTGCACTGAACAATTTACTTTTCCAAATTTGATTACCAGTTCTGATCAACAAGTCGATCCATCTAGTGATATGAAACCTCACTTATTCAATGAGGTTGGATTTATTGGCGAAGATGAAACTATGCAACCTTCGGACGAGGAAAGTGAGCCAAGCGATTCCTCGTCTTCCATCGCTCCTCCGCAAGAACTTTCTACGGAAATCTCTGCAATTGAAGAGTGCGACGATGGGGATTTTGAGGAAGCTGACGCGTAAGTTCCCACATTTACAGATCACTAGTGAACTCATAAACAGTGCAAAATACCTAAAGGCTGGTTGTATTACCTTTTGTTATGATGATGGCAAAAAATTACTACTAGCATCTTATTTTTATGACCAAAAGTGATTGGTTTTTATGTCAGTAACCGTACCAGTGCTTACCTCACGTCTGGTTTCCTTAATGTATTAATGGGGTCGTGTTCTCTACATTGTGCTTTTTCGCAAAGCTTTTGCTTAAAAAGACGCTAAAAGCATTATCACGGCTGAGAATAGTAACCAATAAGCATCGTTCTTTGTTACGTTTCATGTAAAAGGTATTAATTTCCTTGACCGGAAAAACGTCATTGATCCCTTGATAAATTTAAACCGTAAGAACAACAAGATTTCGAGGAGCGTTCCTTGACTATATTTTGTTTAATACTAATCTCGTTTATTAATTTTAGATTACACAACTCTTCTCTTCCCCAAGAAGCTTTCTCTACATATTTTACCCAGATTAGGATAGTAACTAAACGGCCCATGTTAGATATGGTACAGTGGTAAACAATTTTCATTTTCCCACACTCCAGATAAAGCGTATGAATCCAAATGAAGATGAAGGTAGCTGAGTAATTTTAGATCTCGACTGTATTATCTGCATAATTTTTACTTAATACCCTAACACTTAAGAAAGTTTACTGAAGTCCGTGGTCCAATGTTTTCTTTGTGGTTCAGTAAGTTAATCGAGTTTTTATTTCACTCTTCATCATGCATTTGTCTCCCTCAAATTCGTTAAGTGTCGGTTGCGTCTTAGTACATTGCCAAATGAGTTTTACTAAGATCCTCGTTTTGATCATAGGTGTCTTCGAAGTATTGCTCGTATATCCTGGGACTATCGAGTAAGTAACACAGTTGTTAGGAAACGGGTACTAGATAAGGATGGCAAATCAATTGATGACGTAGTGAAACTTCATTAGTTGAGATGGCTGCGACACGTGTTACGTATGCCCAACGACCGACTACCTCGACGTGCGATGTTCAGTGGTATAGGAGTAGGTTAGAAGAAAGCTAGGGGCGGCCAGACCAAAACATGGCACAAGTCCATGAAGTCACTGACAAGTGGACTGAGTCATGTTGGTAGGTGTAGACTACCTGGTTGGGGATCGCGAGATGATAGCAACCGATGGTTAGAGACCCTGAATGACATGGTTCAAAATCGTTTGCAATGGCGCAGGTGCATCTACTCTTTGTGTTCTCTCAAATTTTTATTTCTCCTTATTCCTCCTTGTCTTTTTTTCTCTTCCCAAATTTATTTTACTGGATTATACTCCTTAAATAACATCTCCAAACGCTAATCTTCCCGATTACTGCTTATACTCTTACTACCTCTGCCACTACGGGATTTGAATCGACCACTGCATATGTGTGCTAATGTGTGGCAACTCGAACTGATGTACGTACGTACGAAGTTCTACGTTGTTACTGACTGACTGACCTCGTTTTACTCCCAGTTGTAAGTTCCTATAAACATTGATGTTACATTCTATTTTTATCTGGTTATTATCGGTGACTGTAAGATTTATCCACTGCTCCAGTTGTTTTATTGAAGGTTTATTCTCTAGCATCTGGGTAGCTGCATAAGTGCTGGTGGGGGTGTGAGTGATGAGATCAATGCACGTATAGTGAAAGCCAGAGCAGCTTATGCCAATCTGGGCCATCTTTGGCGCCTTCGTGATGTTAGTCTGGCTGTAAAAGGTCGGATCTACAGCGCGTCGGTGAGAGCAGTTTTGCTCTATGCTTGTGAAATCTGGCCTCTCAGAGTTGAGGTTGTTAGACGACTCTCTGTGTTTGATCATCGTTGTCTCCGAAGGATTGCTGACATCCAGTGGCAACACCATGTTAGTAATGCAGAGGTTCGGCACCGTGTGTTCGGACACAGCGACGATAATCCAATTGGTGTCACCATCTTGAAACACCGACTTCGGTGGCTTGGACATGTTCTACGAATGTCGTCCCAAAGAATTCCACGTAGTACATTACTTGCCGACTCTGGGACTGGTTGGAAAAAGCGGAGAGGTGGCCAGTGTATGATATGGTGTCGTGGTATGAAAGAAAGCTACAAAGAGCTGGCTTCTGTTGGACCTTCAGGACTCTCTAGCTGGGGTCCGAGAGATGGTGCTACACAGTGTCTAGAGACGTTATCAGATATGTCTCAGAATAGAAGCCAGTGGCGATCCTGCTGTAACCTTCTTTTACTTTCTTCATAAAAAGTGGTTGTGTCTCCCTTACCTGAAAGATTTCTTCTGATTGTACCTTTCCGTTCCCCCATTTTACCATTATTATTATTACACCACCTTACATCAATCTCTTCGTTATTATTTTCTCTCTTTTTTCTTTTCCCTCCCCTTAAATTCTCATTGTTTTGTGTGGCGCATATATATTTTGCGCATTCTTCTACCAATATTTGTGTTCAAATAAATAAATAATAATCACAGTATCGTAGAAGTTTCATTCGTTTCGCGTTTTTATTTCCAGATATGCCTTCATACGCAGCCTCCCACCACTGCCTCCTGATATTATTTGTCGTCCACCGGCGCTGCCGAAAAAAACTCGCTCCTCTCCAGAGTTTTGTTTAGTTCTTGATTTAGATGAAACTTTGGTTCATTGTAGTTTGAACCCTCTTTTGGACGCTCAGTTTATTTTCCAAGTTGTTTTCCAAGGTGTTGTCTACATGGTACGTTATCAAATTCTATTTTCCTAATGTTATTTAGATCAGAATGTAGCATTAGATCATAGGATTGCCATCAAAGTTATAGCATGTATCCTGTTCTGGAGGAGGCTTTCTGTTTTGATTTGATGGACTTTTCGGTTGTCAAAATCAATGAATAGGATGTTAATCGATAGATGAACGCTGTGATGTAGGTTGAGTGAATGGTGTCTACTTACAAGGTCGTATTATTGACTTGAGCAGTCAAATGATTAGAAATCAAAGGCAAGATCACTAGTCAAATGAATAGTTTTTCCCTGTACTAAAATAAAATGGTTATTTGTAGAATACAAACAAAGTGAACATAATAAAATAGTCATAAGAGATTAGAAGAAATGGGCTTGTATGTCACTCATTATTCTCCAAGTAATTGAGTATAGACTTCAGCCGAATTTCAGAGCATCGTATCATATCATATAAATTAGATTCTGCCTCGCTATAGTAATGGCTATTAAAAAAACCGTTTATTTTATTTACCTTACTTTACCATAAAACTGTCTACATGAATGCTAAGTTTATATATGAATTACGTATTGTAGTGGATTTTCGCAACTTTTTCACACTACAGGTGTACGTCCGAATTCGACCACACTTATACGAATTTCTTACCAATGTATCTGAACATTTCGAAGTTGTGCTTTTTACAGCTAGCACGAAAGTATACGCTGATCGTCTTGTAAACTTGATTGATCCTAAAAAGAAATGGATTAAGTAAGTTTTTCTTAATCTATGTACCCTATCTATTTCATGTTTATTACCTCGTAGACCTACTAACTAACATTTTCATCTGTTATTTCAAATTAACGATTTATTGTCATTCACAGCTCAGTTTCCGTAATCATTTTATTGACTACGGAACCTAAAGTCTTCTGTTACATTGAATTGTAGTCACTTTGTTAATTTCTTAAGGGTTGATTCTATGGGCCAGACACAATGTCATCCACGATGGTACATTAGATGCCACTCAAATTTCTTTTGGGAAGAAGCATTGGTTTAATTCCCAGTTTCAGCTCGTTCTCATCAAAAATGATCTGTTACATACTATCAATGCCTTGGGAGTTTGCTTCACTCCCGATTAAGTGTAGGATAAGTTCCCAGAGGCGTAGAAATTTGATTACCATAGCAGTTTAGTGATGTTGAAGTATTATGATGCAATTATTCTTTTCTACAATACACTTCTTTTGAAGTTATCTGCTTTTCCATCGTATTTCAATTTGTTTTTTTGTACTAGATTATGCTTTGTTCAGTAAGAACTTGTTTGACTTTGGCATAAGTACTAAACTGCAAAATTTTCTCCCTTTCTAGGCATAGATTATTCCGTGAACACTGTGTCTGTGTAAATGGTAACTACGTCAAAGACTTACGAGTCCTAGGCCGAGACCTCCGCAAAACTGTGATTATTGATAACTCTCCGCAGGCGTTTGGCTATCAGGTATTTGTTTTATTGTTAATAATTACCTTCTATAAATATGAGTGTCATCATAGTATTACGTTGGAATATATTTCTAGTGCGTCATTACATGATTATTTCTACCAGCCTAAATATTTCATTAGTATTATCATTTTCATTCATTTGGATTTTTCGCTTATCTCCTCTTGGTGCTCTAACTTTGAACATAACTAATATGGTTGTTGCATTGATTCTGTTTACTGTAACCAGTCGGAACTTCAGGCTCCTTATGCTTGTGTGTGCGTTATCAGTTTGGTCGTATAATTCAGTGTATCTAATTGGCAATCGTATTGCGCGATAATAGTGTAAGCTAAGGACATAACCACTTTCTTTGTAACTGATTATTAGTTGATGTAGCTAATTTAAGCGAAGGTTGGTCAGCTACAATGTGGGACCAGGCACATATATTCATCGATCCAAGTTGCCACATCTCATTATCACAAGATAAACACCGAATTCATAGAAGTAGTTACTTTCATGGTAGTAAAATGTAAAAAAAAATATTGCATATAACGGTATGAAAGAATTAGTTCGTAGAAAGAAAGGTATAAAGTAATTTTGATCTCATAGTTTAACGGAAGACAAAGAGTGTATACACCTACGCCATTGAGATCGATTATGAGCCATGCCACAGTGTCTCTTACCACGGGTTACGATAGTCGCATGGACTCCAAACAGGTAGTCTACATCTACCAACATGGCTCACACCACAAGTTAGTGACTTCAAAGACTGATATCACGTTTTGGTTTGGCCACCCCTAACTTTCTTTTAACCATCCCCAACGCTAGTCAACATTGCGCGTCGTAGTAATCGGTGTTGAGACACACGTAACTCGTGGCCGAACCATCTCAGTCGATGAAGATTCACAACCTCATGATTTGCCACCATTTTCTAATACCCTACGTCTAACTTCACTATTACTTACTCGGTGATCCCAGCAGATGCTGGCAATATTTCTAAGACATCTGTAAGCAAATACTAATAACTTACGAGTATTCTCAGCCGTAAATTAGAATAAAACGAACTGTTGCGCAGTATACTCGTCCCTTAATTGGTAGACGAATATCTCGCCTTCGCCATAGGTGACGTAAGTTGGCAAAGGCCAAACGAGCTTTTCGAATCCATACAGATATTTCGTCAAACATCAACCCATTAGGGCTGATCACACTTCCAAGATAATTGAAGTTGTCAAAGCGTTCGACTACTTCATTCTCTATCCTTAGTTCAGGTGTTGACACAGACCAGTCCTGAAGCAACAACTTGCACTTTGAGGCGGAGAAATGTATCCCAAACATTCTGGCATTGCTGCTCAGTGCTACTGAAAGACTTTGTATTTTATCAGCGTCTTCACCAAACAGGACTGTGTCATCTGCGTATTCTAAGTTCATAAGTGGACCTCCTGGTATGAGATTTAGACGACGAGAACGTTATTTCCCGAATTAGGTCTATGATGAAACTAGATAGAAATGGAAATGGTGGATAGCCTTGACGGACACCACTTGAGGTTCAAAATAAAATGGCAGTTCGCCATAAGCTCTTACTCGACTGGTATTGTTCGAGTAAAGAGCCTTCACAAGGTTTTAAGACAAAAAAGACCACCATTATCGGACGCCGATAATAATGCCTGTGTTCTAAAATCTGTGAATATGTGGTCGATGCAGCCACGACCAGCTCTGAAGCCAGTCTGGTTTTCTCGTGTTTGCAGTTCACGAGTCTTTGTTTGGCGTCCGATAATTATTGAGGCTAGTATTTTAGACGCTATATTAGTGAAACTAACCCCCCTATGGTTAGCACAGGATGATTTTGACCCTTTCTTATATATTGGGACAATCAGTGATTGCCACCAATCAGATGGGATTACGTTCAGTCCCCATACTTTAACTAAAATATTAGTCAACCTAATCGCTGAAACTGGGCCACTATACCTATAAACCTCTGGAGCCAATCCATCTGGACCAGCTGATCTTCCTCGTTTCAGATTAGCTATAGCTTTATCAACTTTAATCCGAGTCGGGGGGCCTATCTCAATGTTCCATTCAGACTGTTTGGGAATGTTGGCTAGCTGTAGAGTATCTGAAAGCTATCTGAATTGCTCATTAAAGTATTTCGGCCACCGTTTTAAACGTCTGGACTGGGAGCACATAAGTGTCGTCGTTTTCCGAAATAGTCTCACACTTAACTTCTTAATTCCAGTTTGTTTTATTAGTCTGTAAAGCTGTCTTGCTTTACCTACAGCCGCTGCCTTTCCCATCTATTTTGCTTCCATAGGACGAATTCACTTGTCTGAATAGATCATTATCCTAAGATCATTGTTCCAAACACCGCCCCTTCTGATGGGGTTTAGGTTTACATTTTAGGTAGTCCAGCTTATTTGGAATTACTTCCTTACGCCTGTTACTCCTCGTGAAGGAGCATAGGCCGCTCACCAGCATTCTCCATCCAACCCTGTCCTGGGCAATCCTTTCTAGCTCCGTCCAGTTCCTATTCATCCTTTTCATATCTGTTTCTATTACCCGACGCAATGTGTTCTTTGGCCTTCCTCTTTTTCGCTTCCCTTCAGGATTCCAAGTTAGGGCTTGCCTCGTGATGCAGTTTGACGATTTGCGTAATGTATGTCCTATCCATTTCCATCGTCTTTTCCTAATTTCTTCTCCAGATGGAAGCTGGTATGTTCTCTCCCACAGTAGGCTATTGCTGATGGTATCCGGCCAATGGATGTTGAGTATCTTGCGTAGACAGCTATTTATAAATACTTGTACTTTCTTGATTGTGGTTGTTGTAGTTCTCCAAGTTTCAGCTCCGTACAGTAGAACTGCCTTGACGTTCGTATTGAAGATTCTCACTTTGATGCAGAGACTGCTGCTACACTGGCTGTCTTCATCTGCATCTGTTCGTGTGTACGTGATAGGAGGGCTAGGTCATCTGCGAAGTCCAAATCATCTAATTGATTCTGAGCTGTCCATTGTATTCCGTGTTTTCCTTCAGATGTTGAGGTCTTCATAATCCAGTCGACCACCAGAAGAAAGAGGAAGGGAGAGAGTAAACAGCCTTGTCTGACTCCGGTCCTTACTTGGAATGCATCTGTCAGCTGTCCTCCATGCACTACTCTGCACTGTAGTCCGTCGTATGAGTTCCGGATAATATTGACAATCTTCTCAGGAACTCCGTAGTGTCGAAGAAGTTTCCATAATGTCCTATCTACACTGTCGAATGGAATTACTAGAATAATTATACTTTATGTAGTACTCCGATAAAAGGCTTATTCGTCTTACGAGGACAACTATATATTTTTGGTATCTTGGCTTTGTTTCTGATCTGCCCGTGTTTGACATTTGATTTTCGATCTTAAAAACTTGAAGTTACGTTATTTGGTTTTTTGTCTACTGACTGTTGGCAAGAGTTTTTTCTCTTTTTCTTGAAATCAGTTATTTTATCATAATTTCAATAGATTTCAGTGTTTCACTGAAATTCATTATTGAGGTCATGTTTTCGTCATTCGTATCGTTGCTATACCTACATTATAGCAACATCGCCCACGAATGCCCTGGTACGGCCGAGAGTGGGGAGAGTCTGCTCTCCCTCTCGAAATGCTCTCACATGGCCACGCGTCTATAGCCTATGCCATGGAAGTCCTAATCACTGCCTTCTCGTGGCGGGTGTGTTGTTTACGAAATTGAGAGGACGAAAAGCGAATGTTCGGCGCTTTAACCGGGTTGGTGGACACGGAGAGTCCACCTTGGGGAGTTGGGGGACCCTGATTTCTAACCAATGGTGCACATGGGCTCTAGTATCCTGAGGGAACAAATGGCGTATGAACCAGTCGTTGGTCACCGGCTACCATGGCACTGCATCTCTTTACGATGCTCCAGTGCCTTGTGGATCAAAGCTTTAGGTAGAAGGCTCCGGGTGTGCCCCCATAAGAAAACCACCTGCTTCGGTTTGGGCACACGGGCAATATCACAGCCCTCGCACATATCAAATAAGATTTGTGTGGTGCATTTGTCTCTGGTGCCTTCTTGTACCAGTATTTATGTGTTCAAATAAATAAATAAATATAACATCTCCTGGCCCACTTCGTATTGACCTATTCGTTTATCCCACCCGATTTAATGATAGAAACTTGTATTAGTGACGGTGTTCTAGCGTCCGGCAAATTCACCTCCAAAAATCTTGTATAGTTTCAAGAAAAAGCATTCTATTACATGTTTGACCTTAGTTATGGTCTTCTCTGTTTTAACGACTAGTCATTAATTTAGTAAAATAAATTTACATACTCTGTGTTCTTGTTTGTTTAATCTTACAGATTTTACTTTAACTTGTTCCCATTTATTAGTGAAATGATTTTCATGACTCCAGTTTGATAAATGGAAACTGGATTCATTTTAATGTCAATTTTCATAGCGTAATAGTAGTGTTGTGTATCTTCCCAGTAGGTAAAGTTCAGTCTAGAATATAGTTATTGAGTTATTTTGTTTTTGGTATATTGAAAAAAGTTCCAACATAATTCTAATAATGAATAAATCTTTATTTCTGCATTTTCATATCATTCCCAGTTGGATAATGGTGTTCCAATCGAGAGTTGGTTTGTTGATTCAAATGATTGTGAACTCCTTAAACTTATTCCGTTTTTAAAAGAAATAACTAAAGCCGTAAGTATTTATGATCATTTTCAATTACATTCGTTTATGTTCAGCAGTTATTTTAATCTAAGGTTTTCTCATACTACATTTTTGTTACTGTATGTGATATTCTGAAACTAGTCTTGAGTGAATACCAGCTTTTGCTCTAATTTCTATAAATTTGTTCATGTGAAGCTGTTTTAGTAATCCTGACACCAATAATTTTACACCATTGGGTTATCGATTCCAGTAGCCAAATTTCATACTTCAATCACTAGTTAATGCTCTACCCGAACACTTAATATTCGTAGCACGCTTGAGTATATGTGACTGATATAATGCTACGAAATTCGTCAGAACAGCCTATCCTTAATTACTTGGAGAATAATGAGTGACCTACAAGCCAATCTCTTCCAATCACCTATGACTATTTTATCATGTTTACATTTTGTAAATATATATGTATACAATATTGTTGCTAAATTAATGGAATATATTGTTTGGAAACCGAATACTTAGCCGACTCAATCATGCTAGACTAAGTCGACTTTAAATAACCTCGTAGTGTGTTGGTTCGTATGAGTGCCATCTAACACTCAGAGTAAATTTATGATGAAATAATATGTCTTTGACTATATTTCTCAGTTTTAAATTCGAATATGTTCACATTTTCTTTCAGGATGATGTTAGACCATTAATAGTTGATCGATTCCGGTTACATGAGAAAGTTCTGGCAGCTCCTCTTACACCACCCGATGTTCAGAATTGATACATTTCAATACTTTGTAGGTCTCAGTTAAGCTTGAAACAAGAAAATTGTTTTTAAGCAGCAGTTATTTATTTTCTATTTCTCACGATTAAACCTTTCTTTAAATCACTTTTGTTTATTACGGTAAATCTTCTTTATATTTTTAATTCCAATAATCTTTTTATCTCATCATAACTTATCTTTTAACATATTAGACAGATTAATAATCGCATAGCTAACATGGACATATTCAATGCACTGCAGCATTTATATGCTGTGTAAATTTGATAATATTCACAATGTAATCTGCATTCGTTCATTCACTCATCCAATTACGTGAGGAAACAAACGTATTTGAATAATTTTGTTTTATTACCATTTCTGACAGTAAAGATTACTTGTTTTTTATTATAATCATCATTATAAATAATCAATATATCTTGCTTATTTTAGTCGAAATTATTTGCATCATAGTTACAAAATTATTATTATTGCCACTATTTTTAATTTCTATATTCATCAAGATTTATGGCCTGACATCTATTGCTGATTATTACGCATTCGTTATTCGGAAGAATTATATATTCTTTTATTTCTTGTCAACATTTGCATTTACATTATATTTGTATTTATATATCACTAATAAATATCCTTATAATCATATAATTTACATGTGTACAAAGATGTGTGTGTGTGCATGTATTTTCACCTTTTCCTTATCTATCACTCATTGCTTTTTTGACGATAATCAATAAAAATACTGCATCGTGTGTTTATTTTGTCAGAACTTAATTCTATTACTGTTCACGGAAAAAGACGTTTTCCATCCTTATCTGTCTGCTCTTGAAACTGGTGAACATTACATATTCTCCCTAAATTTTTATAATCATTCTTATAGACGATAAATACCGCGGTTAATAATGTTGTTTTCAGTACTTTGTTTTACTTTCATTCAATTGTCAGTTTTCTGTTGTTTTTAATCGTCGTTGTCATTAATTCTTTAGATATTTTCTTTTTTTGCATTGCCCATTGCATTTTTACAATTGGAACTTCGTGTTTTAGCGCTCATAAAATAGTTTTACTGATATTACAACTTTTTTTCAATTTGGGATGTCTGCTGTGGTGTACAGAAAAATTGCATTTTTGAGAGAAAAATCCTTTTCTTTCTTTTTAATTTAACTGTGTGTGGTTTACCTTGTCGGTCTTTTTCTCATTGTTGATGATTTACTTTTAAGATTTTAAATACGTTTTTCTCTCGCCGTTTATTTACTGCACAGTTTATACACATCTTATTAGTAATTTCAATAAAACATTTGGTACTTTTAATTTTTAAGGTTTTTGATTTGACTTTTTTGAGACTCGTTAATACTTGCAAACTTGGTTAATGCGTCTCTTGAATAAGATTTTTATAAGGATGTAAACGCCGCGAATCCTATAGCACATTTGATTACCCTTAAGTGCGTTTTTTTACAAATCTTTACGGTCAAAGAAGCATGGACTACTGGGATTCATGTTCTTTCAGTCCAGTAGGTTTATATTTTCAAACTTGATTGTTTTTTAAATACCTAAAGAATGTGGAGATAACAACTTGAGGTAGTCTCTGACGTAGTTGGTGTCATATGTTATTGGAAATATAAATGAACATCATGAAAGCATTTATCGAGTTTCGAATATTACACTGATCTCACTTATTATAGATGGGAAATATCCTAGTGAACTATTGGTTACATGACATTAATAGTGTAAATTTTTATCACCGAGAAAACCTCAGCAAGACCGGGTAACAATGCTGGTTAGTTTAGTTACTAACGCATTCTCCTGTCTTTCATGTGATTGTTTCTAATGAGTAATGCTAATTAGATCTTTATGGACTGATACGTACATGGGACAGGTATTTAATACAATTTACGACAGCGCGTTACAAAAATCATTGACGCATCCCCCTGTGATTTTTTATTATTATTATTTGAACACATGAATATTGGTACAAGAGAGCGCCAATATATATGCGCCACACAAAACAATAAGAATTCGAAGAGAAGTGGAAGAAAAAAAATATAGGAGCGCCAAAGAAAAAGAGAACAATGACGAAGAGATTGGAGTAAGATAGTGTGGTAGTAACGAGGGAACGTAAAGGTACAATCGGAAGAAATCTTTCAGGTAAGGGAGACACAACCACTTTTTATGAAGAAAGTAAAAGAAGGTTACAGCAGGATCGCCACTGGCTTCTATTCTGAGACATATCTGATAACGTCTCTAGACACTGTGTAGCACCATCTCTCGGACCCCAGCTAGAGAGTCCTGAAGGTCCAACAGAAGCCAGCTCTTTGTAGCTTTCTTTCATACCACGACACCATATCATACACTGGCCACCTCTCCGCTTTTTCCAACCAGTCCCAGAGTCGGCAAGTAATGTACTACGTGGAATTCTTTGGGACGACATTCGTAGAACATGTCCAAGCCACCGAAGTCGGTGTTTCAAGATGGTGACACCAATTGGATTATCGTCGCTGTGTCCGAACACACGGTGCCGAACCTCTGCATTACTAACATGGTGTTGCCACTGGATGTCAGCAATCCTTCGGAGACAACGATGATCAAACACAGAGAGTCGTCTAACAACCTCAACTCTGAGAGGCCAGATTTCACAAGCATAGAGCAAAACTGCTCTCACCGACGCATTGTAGATCCGACCTTTTACAGTTAGACTAACATCACGAAGGTGCCAAAGGTGGCCCAGATTGGCATAAGCTGCTCTGGCTTTCACTATACGTGCATTGATCTCATCACTCAAGCCACCACCAGCACTTATGTAGCTACCTAGATACACGAACTTCTCGACTACTTCTATCTGCTCACCATCCAGGGTGAGTACGGGATTAGAATCCTGCCAGTCTTGTAGAAGTACTTTGCACTTCGAAGGTGCAAAGCACATACCATACTTACGGACACTGATTGCCAACTGATTAAGTGCGAATTGCATGGCTTGGGCATTATCGCACAGTAACACAATATCGTCCGCATACTCAAGGTCGAGAAGTCTTTCTCCAGGCAACAGATCCACACCACCATTACTTACATCCATCAGAGCTGTTTCCAGAATGTCATCGATGGCAAAGTTGAAGAGGAATGGTGAGATTGGGCAACCCTGCCTAACCCCACTGCTCGAATGGAACAATGGAGAGAGGTGGTTGTATGCCCTCACTCTGCCTGAGGTGTTTTTTATAGGGCTTTTAGGATGTTAATAAACTTCTCAGGCACACCCTTCTTCAATAGACAATCCCAGAGAACAGTCCTGTCCAACGAATCGAAGGCAGCCCTGATGTCAAGAAACACTACGATTGTTGGCCTTTGAAAGAATGGCGGTGTTCTAACATTTGGCGGAGGGTGAAGATATGATCAATACATCCTCGACCAGAACGAAACCCAGCCTGCTCCTCGCGAGTCAATCTTTCTCGGGTTTTGAACAACCTACGAAGTATGACGGAAGCCAATAGCTTGGACGCAATCGGAAGTAACTTATCCCCCGATAGTTGTTACAGGAACGACGTAAACCCTTTTTAAAGATAGGGACAACTATCGACTCATTCCATGACGTTGGTACACTCTCTAGTTCCCAAACCTTTGTAAACAACGTCGTCAATTCCTTAGTCAAAAAGTCACCACCATCTTTAAAAAGAGCCGGAGGTAAGTCATCTGGGCCAGGTGATTTGTAACGCTTCAAGAGTTGGAGTTCCTTGCGGACTTCCTCCTCGTTTGGTGGATCAGTCGTCACCGGCCATGGAGGGCAGGACAGTCTGACCGATGTTGCCGGAGCAGCAGGCCAGTTGAACTGCCCTTCGAAAAATTCTGCCCATCGTCCAAGACGTCGATGGATGTTAGTGATTGGCATCCCATCATCCTCGCAGATTGTTTCACTCACACCAGACTTCTTGCTGCCAGTGGCTCGGATGAGCTGGAAGAGCTTCCGGTAGTTACCAGATGCAGCTGCTGCTTCCAGCTCATTAGCACGCATCGACCACCAGGCTTCTCGGTCCTTACGCAAGCTTTGCCCAATTTCCTTACGTAACTTCCTTCGTTTATGGTCAAACTCACGGTCACCCGGAGTAGACCGACGGGCTTCAATGAGTTGTAAGGAACCAGAAGAAACCCAGTGCTTAAAAGCGGGACGTTTCGCAAACCCACAACTGACTGTTCCCGCCATTTTCATGGCGTCATGCAATTGCAACCAATGCTCATCTATACTTTTCGGTGGAGTGGTAGCTAGCCTAGAGGCTAGCTCGGTTCGATACTTACTTGCAACAGAAGTTGCAACCAGCTTGCTAACATCAATCTTTGTGGTGGTCACTTCGTTGTCCACTGAAAAGTAAGGCAAGATTGGCGCAGACCAAGGCATGGTCAGAGTCCAGATAGGTACTCCAAAAGGAGCGGCAGTCTTGTACACAACCACGCCAGCGGTAGCTGATCGCGATGTGATCAATCTGAGTCCAGGCTTGAGATGCAGAGGGAGGACGCCAGGTGGCACATCGGCGATGACTGTGCCGAAAGTTAGTGCTAGCCAGAAACAGGTTGTGGTCTGTGCAAAGTTGCAGTAGACGGTCCCCGTTATCTGACCTGCGACCAACGAGTCCCCATCGGCCACCTAAACGACTCTCTTCTGTGCCTAGACGCCCGACCTGAGCATTCAAGTCTCCGGCTAGTACTACAATATCTGTCGAACGCACTTTCTGGAGAAGAACAGATAACTGGTGGTAAAACTCATCCTTGATTGCATCCGGGCTGCAATCTGTCGGGGCATAGGCGGAGATGACGAAAAGACATCGTTTCTCACGCCGATTTCTTCTCACTTTGATGGAACTTTCTAATCTAACAGCACATAACCGACTGTTAATGGGGATCCAATCGACTAGTGCTGCCTCAGCTCTAGCGCTTAGTGCGACACCAACGCCAGCAAGACCAGACGAAGATGCCACAGGGTTCCCGGATAAGCGCACGTAAAACAAGCTTTTCGAAGCGACAGA